GGGGACGCGTGGCTTCGTCCCGGGATGGGAATGGAGGGGGTGGGAGGAGCTTGCGTCCCGCCGGGGCGGTGACCAGGAATTGCCCCTCCTCTGTTTCTGCAGCCGGGCTTGGGGCGCCCGCGAGCGGCAAAGCCGACCCGGGGAAAGGGCCCGGGGAGGACGAGCGCCTTTCCCGCCTCCTCCCCCTCGCCTCCTCCTGGGTGCGGTTATTGCGCTTCCCTGGCCCCTGCAGCAGTGATGGTGCCACCCCTTTGGCCGGGTGGTAAGCCAGTCCCTCCGGGCCACGCTTCGTCTTAAGAGGGTCCACAGGCTTCTCCGAGTCGGGCAGCACGATCCTCGGGTGATCCTGGTTCCCAGTCCTGGGCTCTGGGGGAATGCGCCCCTTCCTTTAGCCCAGGTGTCTAGGCTTTCTGGAGACGTCTCAGGGTGCCGGCCTGGTTCCTGTGTTAGCTCCTTCCCTGCCCTGAAAGAACCCTCTCCCCGGCTGCCTGGGCGTCCTGGGGGTTCGGGGCTCCTCCCTGCTGCAGAGACAGCTTGTGCCAGCCTCGCCTTGGTGACAGCACCCGGCACTTGTCATAGTGTCTCCTCACTTGATTCAGGGCTCAGAGTTGCTAACTGTGCCATCTGGGGAAACTAAGGGCAAAGGGAATGGACAGATTATCTAGTTAAGGTCGGAGTTGGGACAGCAACAAATGAAATTCGACTGGCCTGGGTAACAATCGTGTGTGATTTAGGGCGAGTTACCTAAATTCTTGAAGTCTCTAAGGTGGGGTGTTGCTCTCTACCTTAGTTAGGAAGGAGGCTTGAGTGAAGTGTTGTATAACCTTTAACCTTGTCTGAAAAGTATTAGATGATCAATAAGTGCTCCCCACCACCCCCCACCCCGTACTCGCTCCGTTTTATAAGAGAGAGTGGTGAGGGACAAGAGCAATTTGTAGGGCAGGCATTTGTATTAACGTCTTAAAAAATCCTAAGACAAAGCAGGGAATAGATGTAACATTTGGGAATGCGGAGCTCTGTGTGCCAGATTCAAACTTCTGAAATAGTAACTCAACTTCTTAATTTTTTTCTTTAAGACCAGAGACTGTCTGGGGTCCCTGTTCTGTGACCTCTGATTGGTACACGGACCTGAAGCTGTCTGCGTCTGGCGATGCACAGTTGGGTGGAACTGGAAAGCAGATTTACCCGAGTGCTTTTCCTCACTGCTGTTCTGCTGTGTTTTCTTTCTAGACCCAGCATGAGCGAAGTTCCCTGCAAGAAGCGTGAGGATTATTTGGAATGGCCCGAGTATTTCATGGCCGTGGCCTTCCTGTCGGCACAGAGAAGCAAAGATCCAAATTCCCAGGTAAGTGAGTTTTACGGAGATCAGTGGGACCCTCACTGACACAGAGATACCCGCAAACGAGCCACTTACAAAAGGGCGCTGACAAAGGCGGAGGAAAGCTGCTGTTCTTTGTTCTGCATTCCTACTCGCTTCTTCCTGTGCGAGAGAGGGTGTCAGGTGCCTCTAGCACCCCCTCTGGGGCCAGGGGTGCTCTTTCTTTGGCTTATGGGAACTGCCACAGAGACTAAGCAAGGAGACAGAGCTCTTAGCACCCTTGGACACTGCATGTCCTTTTGGAGCTCTGCAGGCCTCTGGTTTCATTGACCACCTCTCCGGTGGCAGACCAGCCACGCGAAGTCACCAAGCCTTTGAGCGTGTTTCCCTGTAGGTCGGAGCCTGCATCGTGAATGCAGAGAACAAGATCGTGGGGATCGGGTACAACGGAATGCCGAATGGGTGCAGCGATGACCTCTTGCCTTGGAGGAGGACAGCGGAGAGGAAGCTGGACACCAAATACCCTTACGGTAGGGCGCGCTTTGTGCTCCGTTCTGCTTAGTGGCATAGCCCTGGGGAGTACTTAAATATTATAGTTGGTCAGAAAGAAGTGTCCTTCACCTTTTCAGTCATCAACAGCTGGAAAGAAAACAAGATCCTATTGAACGACCCCAATTTTCTGTCCCATCTCTTAAGTTCCAAAGAGAGCCAATGAATGGAAGCGTGGTGGTGGTCACACAGCCCGGCCCCAAGTTCCAGGGCTCTGCTGCCTGCCGTGGGCCTGGTGTGTTTCGCTGGTGACCTGCCAGGCTGTGCACCGCTAGGGCATTGGTGGCAGTCTTCTGTGCAAGGCCACCGCCCCTCGCTGAGGACCATGCGTGACGGCTCTGCAGGTTGTTTCTTCGCTCGTTGGTAGCAGAGCCAGCTAACCAAGGACTGGCCGAGGCCTAGCTCTCATGAGCAGCAGGGCCCATCCAGCCCCTCTGCCTACCCGGGAAATGCATGCGGCTCGAGCTCATCTCTGGGAAGCAGGAAACACTGTGAGCTGGGCCTCAGGAGATGGATGATGCTGGAGCCGCCTCCTGTTCCGGGGGGCTCAGCAGTCCCAGAGTGGGTCAGGCCACAAGCCGGATGGGTGCGACCGGACACCTTTGGCCTGGCCGTCTGTTTTCCGTTTTTAAATTAGGGAAGGGTGCTTCTTATCATTGGTTGCCTTTCTGAGCCCCAAGGGAGGATCACTTCAGAGAGTATCTGGGAGGCACAAGCCACAGCTTCACGTTTCCTTTAATCCCCTAGAGATTTTGTAACTAATGCATGAAAGGGGCAAATTGGGCTGCGTGTGCTGGTTGTTGATTTTTATAACGTTAGGACCTGTGTTATGTCTGGAAGTGAACAGGCCGGCACTGTGGGAGTAGACGAAGGCCGTCCTGCAGGGAAAGCGCCCACCTTTGGGAGGCGCAGTCCCGGCAGCATGGAAGCCTTTCGCTCTGCGGACTTCCCTAGCAGGCCTTCCTCTGGGTTCTCTCCTGAAGAATCCCCAGTCCACAGTTAGCTAACTGACTTATTTTTACTAACGTTCTTGGACCTCAGTCATGTTAAATAAACCCCCTACGTTTCTTTGTAAACTGCTTCGGGCAACTGCTGTGTTTCAGAAAGAAAAACAGATGCCCAGAGGTGGAGAAGGAATTGAGGAACTCGGGTGGGAGAACCACAAAGCTCTCAGGGTTTTCAGGGACTAAAACCTAGTTTAGTGATCAGGGCGTCTCATAGTCAGATGAGTCCTCGCGGGAGCAGGAAGAGGGGGACCCCACTGGGGAGAGAGTGACGCTGTCTGCGCAGCCTCCGCTTTCCAGCTGTTGGGGGGTGTGAGCGGAAAAGGGTGCTGACGTAGTTTAGAAAACTTCTGCCGTCTTGATTTGATTGTAAGCTTTCAACGATAAGAAAGAAGGGAAGGGATTAGTTGTTTGTGGGTGCGTGCAAAGGCAATGATTCACAGCACAGTCCAGTGTCCTGTATAAAATTGCAGAGTGAACGGGTCCATGTGTCCAGGACCCCCGCTGAACCGAACAGCTGCCACAGTTGTTCCTTCACAGAGTCCAGACGGAAACGTCGGTCCCTGTGCTGAGCCCCATACGGAGGAATTCTTAGGGGGAACGTCTGTGGCTCTGAGGCTGGTTGCAAAAGATGTCAGTGGTTGGACCCGCATAGAGGGGTCCCCGTTGGTCACTGAACTGCTCGCCCAGGGGGACCTGTGCTGTCCTCAATCACTGTGAGCCCTGGGCATATGCGTGGCCACGACCCAGAACCAGAGGCTGGTAGCACCTTTGCAATCCGCGACTTTCCAGTGTTGTGGAACCTCTCGAGTGGCTGATTTTGTTTGGAGAGAGTGCCTTTCAGAGCTCCTTTCCAGAAGTAATAAAAATAAAAACCCACACAGGCATTGGTCCAGCTCTGCTGATTGTTTTTATTGAATAGATGCTGCGTTTCTGGGCCCTGGCTGTCTGCATTATTTTTTACTCTCTGTAGGATACCTCTTGGTTTTCAAAGCTCTTTGCCCTCTCTTATCAATTATTCATTTTACATGCAGCTGTGTTAGAATGTAGACAATTTCCTTCACGAGAGTACGCTTGTAATTTGATGTACCATAAAAGTTGTGGAAGGTATTAAATGGTTTTTAAAAGGCATTTAGTGTTACTGCCCTCATGAAACACACAGAGATGGGCTTTCTGTCTAAATAATGATGACTGGCTAGAAACTGGACACTCGGTCCTGTCTTTTCCAGGGATCTCGGCCTGCAGAATAAAAAATGTTTTGATAGCCTTGGGTGGAATAGAAATGTTTGGTGATAATTGACTAAAATGCAAATTCTTTTTACTTCTGTTTTGTTGGTGTCTTAAAAGAAGCGCTGGTGTCTGGAACTGGGGAGGCTCCACGCTTTCTCTCCTCACTGACATCACTGTGGCCGGGCTGCCCCATCAGGGGTGGGAGATTATGCGTAAATCCCTGTAAAGGAGCTTTAGAGATTAGAGATTATCCTGAGCTCTAGACCAATGACTCCTAATTCCCTTGAATATATGGGGACCCTCTCAAAAAACATCCAGGCCCCCTACCTAACTAAGACTGGTTTAACTTAACTGTCTTTTGAGTAAGAAAAATCTATGAAGACAAAAAGCTACTTGATGACAGTAAGGCTTCATATCGATCTGGACTTGATTGAACAGCCTGGGTGTGTGTTTGGGAAAGTGTGTTGTGTACCAGACTTGATGTTCACACAACCTGTGGCCCTGGGAGCCTTGTAGAGCCTCCGTGGTGCCTCAGGGTTCTGTGCCCGCAGGGCCCTAGTCTATCCATTTCTTTCATGGTCCCCAAACGTGAAGTAACTTCTGTAATGCCACGCACGCGAGGTGACCTCCTGCTTTCAAGCTCAGTGCTCTTTGCTGCCCCCCCCCCCCTTGGGGCTTTTCTGAAACGCTGCCTGGATCCCAGCCCGGCGCACCACCTCTTCCCTTCCCGCTGCGCACTGGAGCAAACGTAGGCTTGGATGGAGTGACTACCAGAGGTCAAGTGCTGGCGGAGGTGGCCGCGCCCAGCTCTGGGCGGGAAGCCGTTTGCGCGAGGCTGGCTCTAGCATTTCTCCGAAGGGGCACTCCGGATGGGACTTGGCAAGTTTGAGTTTGCCAATTGCACACACAACTTAATTTTCCTTATTAATTCTGTACGTGGGGAAGCCATTTGTCCTGATTGACACTTTGCGAAGAGGAGGGAGACTGAATACTTGTGACATAGTAGAAGAGGAGCCTCTCCCGGCTGTGTCTCTGGAGGGCCCTTTGTAAAGGGTGTTTCTGTTCTTCCAGCCGTAGGATCAAAGCGTCATGAAAGGACTTGATCGTAATGTGTACTATTCATACGGATAATGGAAATTCCCCCTGCCCGAGAAACTGCTTTTTATCTCATACTCTTCCTGAAAAATCCAAACGACAGTGTGTCAGTGCTGTTACAGTGACACCTTTCACAGGAATGACAAACTGGGAAGCAGCAGATTTACCTAATTTACTATAAAAAAAAACTTTGGAAGATTTTTACTTTTACGAGGGGGGGATGAAGTATTCATTTGACATTGTCAGTTCCTTTCTCTTTCTGAAATTCATTAGCGTGAAGCACATTTAATCAAAATACCAATTTTATGAAATGGAGGTAAAATATTCCTGGTTAATTCAGATACCACGCTTTCCCTGGGTTTTTGTAACCAATGTTCATGACACAGTTTACAGACCAGGGAGTTGGAGTAGCATCAACTTCTTTCATCCTCAAGAGCCTTTGTTAAAGTTCTCATTTAAAAAAAAAAAAAAAATGTTTTTATTGATTTTTTTTAGAGAGAGGAAGTGAGAGGGGGACAGAGATAGAAACATCAATGAGAGAGAAACATTGATTGGCTGCCTCCTGCACTCCCCCCCCCCCACTGGGATCAA